TGTGTGTGTGTGTGCATGCATGTGTGACTGTGTAGGATGGCACAGCAGAGCCGGAGGAGGGAGGAGAGAAAGGAGGCCTCAGAAGGAGACACAGGAGACAGCTAGTCTGATGTGCTGAAGCAGCCTCTCTCCGTCTACATGCAGCCTTTAGATTTCCATCCTTAAAACGGAGTGGACAGAGAAGCTTTGAAAAAAACACACAACGCTGGGTTTAGCAGTCGCCACAAATCATTTCTTGATCCCGTTCTCCTGGGAGAGCAGTGACAGCTTTGATCCTGGACTCACTCTAACCCATCAGTCACAGAGACTCTGCTCCTAGAAAATTGTCTTTCTGTCATCACGCTTCCATTCTCCAAACATGCCAGTAACAAGTAAGGCTCTTTGGGTTTGGACTCTGTGTAATAGGGCCACAGATGGCTCTGTGTCTGTAGTGCGGTTGGAGAAAGAAATGGCATCACTAGGTCCGCTGGCTGCACAGCACTGAGGGGCTTTTTCTACTCTCTAATTGCTCCAAGCTGTGTCCCTTTGAAGGCCCAGAGACGCAGAGATTTTCATGTGTCTCTGGGTGAAGGAGCAACAAGCTACCAGAGATGAACCCATTTTAAACCACTGTAAATCCATTTAATACTCAGATCTCATTAACATTGTTTATCCTCTTTAATATCAACAATGATGATGTGATCCAGGGAAATAAAAGAGGTGATTCTGTTCAGTTCATCATAGTGAAGTTTTTATTCTGGAAAAGGAGAGATAAACTTCCCATAATAAACATTTTCTGGTCTACTGTAAGTGCAGAAAAGTTTGTTTTTCTTCTTTTTTCATATAAAATACTTAACATGTTTTAAACGTATAAAAAAAGTGACACAAGGCAGTTCCATCAGTGTTACAGAGGGCGAGTAGCCAAAACATTCTAAACCTCATCAAATAATCTACAGTTTCTCAGTTTATTTTCTCTAGTATACGTGCAGTAATATTTCTATCCTAAAACTAGCTCTACATAAAGTGTGACTATGTTGTGCACTTGTAGTGGTGACCTTTGGAATTACAAAGTCTTTTACTGTTTTAAAAAATCCCTTGAAACAAATAGTTTGATTACACAAAGGATAGAAAAAGAAAAAACCCATCAGTTTTTATTTATGAAACTCAGAGAAGCATCCTCCCCTGCATAGGTGGACGTTGCATATCTTGCAGCCGAACACACTTTCGTGTCGCAGTCCCTTGTTGGTGCAGTTCCTGCAGCGGCGAGATCGCTCTGACATGCGCTCCAGGCGGTGTCCGTACTCTATGGGTGAATCTGCGTGTCTCTTGCGTGCTGCCCGCTCCATGCCCCTTGCCCCTTGGTAGTCTCCAATCAGCTGCTGTGCCAGGCGCACCCGGAAGTGCCGCTGGGTGAACTGCTTGCCGTTGAAGCCTGCCGGAGGGCTGCCCCCCCTGCTCTCCCTCAGGATGACGTATGCATTGACAATGCACAGGTTCACGTAGAACCACAGGAAGTAGCGCCACCACTTCTTACAGGGCCGGCCGACCTGGTAGCATTCCCTCAGCTGGTCGCACAGGTCCACTCCCCTCATGTTCTCCTGGTACAGCAGCAGGGGCAGAGGTCGGGGTACACCGAAGGACAAACCTGAGCTGTCCATGCTGTCACTCTCCCCCTCCCCATCTACCTCATGCTGCTGCCGACCTGGACTGATACCCACAATCCCTGGAGCAGAATTGGTGGAAAGGCAGCTGACCATCTTGACATCCCGTGTCACCGTGGCAACCAGGTTGCCACGCTGGCACTGGTAAAACTCTCCCTGGGCCAGCTTTCCGACGTTACGGGGCCTGAGGACTTCTGGGTAACCTTTGCGCCCTGGCTGTGTGGGCCCGCATGCATAAAGTCCATCCCTCAGCAGCCTCTGGAGGAGGGGCACGGAGGTGAAGAAGCTGTCCATGAAGAGGTGGTGATACTGACCCTCCAGGCCACGCACTAGGGAGGCCACCACCCTGTAGCCCAGAGAGGCCGCTGCCTCATCTTCACTGGGGTTGCCTACGTAGATCTTGGCCCGGTGGCAGTAGCCTGAGCGAGAGTCACACAGCATCCACACTGTCAGCCCCTTCCTCAGGGGCTTGGAGGGCATGTACTGGGTGGGGGAGAAGCGTCCCTTCATGACAATGGCACACTTGTCTATGGTCAAACAGCGATTGGGTGTATATGAATCCCACATGGTGTTTTCCACCACATCGAGGAGAGGCCTGATTTTGAAGAGGCCGTCGTAGCCACGCTCCCCTCGCACAGGCTCCGACTCACGGTCACACAGCTGCAGGTACTGGGTGAGTTTCTCAAAGCGCCTGGCTGTCATTGTCTTTTTAAAACCTGCGTTGCCTATGAAAATGTCACTGGCCCAGTACATGCCTGTGTCAGGCAGCTGATTGATGCCCATGAGGATGTTCAGACCCACGTAGGCCTTCATCTCCCTCACATCAGTGGGGTGCCAGTGGGGGTCTGACTTCCCGCTCCTCCTTTGCCGATAGAGGGCGTAATTGTTTGTTTGTTCTACCATGTGTTCAAAAAGAGAATCTGGGAAGAGTATCCGGAAATAGTCACGGGTGTCAGCATCGTCCCCCAGCGAGTGCTGCGGGCCGCTGACGGCGGAGAACGGCTCGATCGCGATGACCTGGTCCGGTTCGCCCCAGAAGTCCGGAGACGTGCAGTCCTCGTCCGAGTCATCGTCGAGGCGGAAAAAGCCCCTGCGCTCCTCCTCCTCCAAATCCGAGAAATCGATATCGGAGTCGTTTGAGGTGGTGTCGGAGCAGTTTGTGGAGGTAGAATAATAACAGTCCTCCGCGTACTCCTCCTCGTCGTGCTTGATCCCGTTACTGCCGGTGACTAAAATTATGTTGCAGCCGCCTCCCGCGATCAAGCTGGCGGCGTCCGCAGCCTCCGCCGCCGCCGCGGCCGACGTGAATCCATTCTCCCCTTCCTCCTCTCCAGCACCGTCCTCCTCCTCCTCCTGCTCCTCCCGCTCTCCGTCTTCTTCCTCGTCCGAGTCCGGCTTTCTGTACGGAATCTCAAACCACTTCACATCGGCCGAAAGATTCAGCGGCGAGTCTTGACTGTCGCACACGCCGCCACTTTCTGTGTCCGCGCTAGTTTCCAAAATAGTAAAAAGCTCTCTCCCTTTTCTTGCCGTCGCCATGTCGGGGTATTAAAGTGCCCCTGCATGAGTTTTTTATGGGTATTCCTCCACTAATCGCAGAAATATGCTCGTCCCAAATGAACTGATGTGCACTTAACTGCAGCCTCCTCTCGAAAACTTGCCCGGTCGTGGACCTATGCGGCGTCTATAAGCTGGATCCTCATTGTTTCCGCTCCTGGCTTTTTCTGCTCTTTGAGGCGCAGTGTGGCCGCAGACGTCAGAAGCTGCATGCATGTCCTGCTTTGTAGGGCGTTTTGCGACTGCAGCTGGTGGGGTTGCTAGTTCGCTCGGCTGGCAGATGGCCGCTCGCTGTTCTAATGCCCGCTGGCATTCAACACTATCAATATGCCGGATACCCATCTCTGAGGCCGCGGAGATACACAAACCACTGCGTAAAATACACCAAAACATCAAACCCGTGTACTGTCACTCAGCTGTGATGTGTGTGTGTGTGGGGGGGGCGTTCATGTAGCATCTACACGCAGCTCACACACTGCACATACCCATCACACACTATATCTCCCCAGATATATGTTGTTTTAAAGTTTATAACAGCTTTCAGAGATGCGTAAAGACGCACACGGTGTGGTCATAACGCACATGATGGATGTCGCCACATCACACAGGACGCCCTGTTCATCCCTGTGACTACACACTGAACCCCAGGCAGAGAAGTAGCTTGTTCATTCATAAACATGCTTCTTCCCTCTGACAGGTTCCTACATGAATCTGAAGCCCTATAGGCTATTGTGGAATTAGGGACCTCCCTCTATTTTATGAATGTGGGCAGATATACTCTTGTGTTTTACTCCAGAACTGAGGTTGACGAGCTCTCCCCTGATGAGATTGATTTGAGCCTCTGCAGGTTGTGCCCTCAGAGCTTTTTTAAATTCTATGCTACAGCGTGTTTTCATTAAGCTTTCATTTCCTCTGTGAATATTCACAACAACAAAAAAGAGCAGCATGGCTGTAAAAGTTGCCCACAGAAACCATGTTTATCATTATCAGCTTCACTATGTGCATGATATTATCGTAGTTTTGCTTTTGACCTGTCGTCATAACATGTATTTAATAGTTAATGGCGGAATAAACAGCCCACCTGTTATTCCTTACCTTTATTTTGCAGTGTTCAGGTGTAACATGATAATTAGAAGGAAATATGAAATTCTGGGTCAAAATCCAAGATGTGTGTTACAATATCCCAACATCACTGAACTGCAAATGATTTGTCATATGTTTTGTCCTTTGAGTGTCATCGTGTTATCAGCTTTATAAACAATACTCAGTTGTACTGCAACAGAAGGCGGTTCATGTAAAACAAGACCCTTGGCTATGATTTAAAGGCAACATAACTCTGGTCATGGATTCTTTGCTGGTTTGGTAGCAGACGAGTAAAATCAGGTCTTCTTATATGGGAGGGGGGATGGGCTACAGGAAGAGTCCTTTCCAAATTCTTTTAGCTATGGCCGGAGTCTACATGGCTGGCTGAGCACTGGGTTGCTGCCCCTGGGCCCTGCAGCGGAGGCACGATTTATGCGTCCTTCCTCACTGGCTTATTGCACAGATTCTCAGTGGTATCATATTGCCTGTCTGAGCTACGGGGCCTTGCTGTTTCTATCTGCAGAGGAGGGATTGGAGCTGTATTAGCCGCCTGCACACTGGGAACCAGTATGCTGAGAAACAGTGGAAAGTGAGAGAGGCTGTGGACCTCCACTATCCAACCCAAAAATAGAAGTAAGGAAAAAAAACGTCTCACTCCAGCGTTTCCAGGCCCCTGGAGCAGAGTACTGCAGCAGACCCCTCAGAGACTCCCGCGGTGGGGTGGAGAGACGCCGACCAATGGGGGCTCAGGCGTTCAGTGTGTGTGTGCGCGTCTGTGGTTATCTGTGTATGTGTGTCGGTGCGGCTAAGTCAGCTCCTCCACAGCTCAGATCCCTCTCATGGATGAGTTCAGAGATGGTTTCTGTGTGCGTGCACGTGTGTGTATGTGTGTGTGCGTCTGCCAGCATGTGAGCAAATGGTGCAACCACTGCAGCCTCTGCTAAAGACAGACCAATCCTACTCTCTGTCATTCCCTGATACTGTATGCCGTATGTGTGTGTGTGTGGCGTTGAGGGGCTTATTAATAGTGATGTTCTACTACTGCCAACGGCATTCTCAGTCTCAGCAGATGTGATTGGAATTAAAAAGCAAATCCTAGTCACTGTGTCGAGTGTGTTTGTACCTAACTCAGTTAAAACATGTGGTCACAGCCCTTCACGTATTTGGTCAAACTGATGTGAACTAAGCAGGAGTGTATTTCCAGATCAACTGTGACTGTTCTTGAACTGCTGTGCTTTTCCTGACATGTTCACAACCTTTTCTTCCTCTTCTCCTCTGAAGTGTCTCCTTGTCAGGAACTCATCGTCCACTCTGTCCTGCTGTACATTTAAAAACCTTGTTACCTCCACACATCCTCCATGTGACATGTAATACTGACCTTGAGAAACTCACCTGGTTGCCCCCTCCCCTCAGCCAACAGTGGTACAGTGCCCTCTGGTGGTATTTGGAGCGAAGTGAGTACTACAAATGAAATGACAGAGTAAAGTACTGTGTATTTTATTTTCATTGTCCTATTGATAAGTATCATATGCCTTGGTATATGATGCAATACATTGGTATATTCAATACTGAAGGTTTAGGTCATGTATGCCATAAAGCACAGATATCTTTTGCTACATACAAGTGCATGTTTTAAATATTGAGAACACTACGGATCTAGTC